TATTTTAATAATCGATTAGTCATCGATTAATCGATTAATCGTGGCAGCCCTAGTTGTGTACCTACTCCTAACATGAGTGTATTTAATGTATGTGTGACGACAGTACTTTTGAGTTCACGCCACGTTTTAAACTCAGGGCCCATGGGCCAAATCTGGCCGCCATTAACTTTTTATCCAGCCCCAAAGGTAATACTTTAAATATGAATTAGGTTTATGGTTTCTCTTTGTGTTACTGTGATTAGTGTGTTCTTCTCATGACAGCAGACCAACTTTCAAGCCAAGAAAATTAAGTTTGAATTTTTCATTATTTTTTTTATTTTAATTTCCAGTTATTTCTTATTTTGGTGCAGAAAGAGTAAGACAATCGATTTTAGTTATCTTTTGCTGGGTTCTTTTCTTATTTAAAGGTCAAATAGTTTGATTTTTAGAGAGGCTATCACAAAATGTTTTTTAAGATATATATAAAAAAAGCTTTTGATGGAAAGTAAGGCATAATAAATTAATGCTGAGTGTTTCTAATTTGAAACTTTCTTCATCTGTTAGCTTATGTATGTTCTAAATGCTACATAAAACATAATTTGTATTTCTATAAGAATAATTTATTATATAACATTTCTTCAATCCATATGGACAGAAGTTGGCTCTTAGTTTGAACTACAGCAAGTTTTAAATTTTGGCCCCCGTGTCTAACTGAGTGGGACACCCCTGGTTTACACCAACCAAATAAAATACTACAATAATACAGTATAGGTTTACCTTAAAGCAACTTTTAAACCCTAAAGTCCAGCTCCTTGAATTCATGTATTTGTCCAGAGCATCCCACAGATGCATGATTTGATAGTTTGAAAACCTGAAGACCAAATCAACATCAGGACCCAATCCAACATTTAACTAACATTCCTAGAAAGTGACTTGAAATTTTGCAGTTTTTTTTTTTTTGTTTGTTTTTTTTGTTTTGTTTTTTGCTGCTTAAAAAGTCTTCAATACAAGCTTGGTTCACAGGTAAATACAGTTTTACTTGCTTTTCTAATGTATGGAGTGTGTTTCTCAAATGAGTGCATGGTTGGTTCAGAACCACGTGGACTGAAGAATCCTTTAATCAAACCTGGACTCTGAGAGTGACAGCTAGCACACAGCAGACCTTTGCCTCATGTGTCTGTCTGCTGGTCAAACTCTGTCCGACTTCCTGGAGCCGGTTACAGCAGAGGTTGTAGAACCATTTGTATCACTTCTTCACTGCAGAGGCGGAGATGAATGATTGATGAGATGAGTGCCCAGCTCATAGGGTCCCCCAGAAGCCTGTGCTGTGTGTGTCTAATACTGCCACACACGCTCACTCTGATATGACAGTAATTAACCTCAGACTGTGTTAACCCTAGCTGACCATTAGAAGGGCAAAAGGATTGATGGGCCTTGTACCAGTCCTGAACGCTCTGTACAGTTGGTTCACAGTCAAAGTGCACTGGAATGTCTTACCTTTTTGTATAAATGTGTGATGATCACGAGCTCACTGCTGAAAGTAAACACAATGTGGATTAAAACAGGAGGCAAACAATTACSAACTGAAATAAGCTTTTCCTTCATATTTACTCTATTTTTTTCCTAAGCTGATTTTGTGCTGTGATCATAATAGACCAAACAGATCTCAGGAGGGAAAGAAGTGGAACATCTCCATCAGTGTGTCCTACTTTATGAAGCTGACTTTGTCTAAAACTGTTTGTTGCTGAAAGATGTTTAATGACTCCACACTGKAGTCTGATGGAGGTCACATTTAAATTATGAAGAAAAAATTCAGTCTGAGCAAAAACTTCCAAATTGAGCATTAAGCCCTGCTGTGTGAACGTAGCCTCAAGTCTGTTAAATGTGATTGATCTCCTTGTTTACATGTGAACTGTTCAACATCAGAGGTGATCCCTTGTTGTTAGGGACATTTCTGTTTGAAAGCGGTGTTGACAGGTTCATTGAAACGGCCCGGTCACAATGCTCTTCATCTAATTGGACATCTAGACGCCTCGAATAACGGTCCTGTTAGCCCCAGTTGATTTGTCTCATTTCCAGCCTCCTCCCTGACCCCTTTGTGTGACCTCCACGACCCTGCCTCTAGTCTGGAAGGTGCTTCAGAGGAGTGTGGTGATTCGGAGTGAGATATCATATGTGGCACCTCCGTTTCAGTCCTGCAGCAGGAGAACGTGGCCACTATTTGATGAACTTTATGAGCTGTCTGTCGCCAGATGAAACGTGTTCTGATTTATTTGCTCAACTAACAAAAACAACATAATTCTCTGAAAAAAGGGACAAAGAAAGATATCAGAATGACTGCTACCTTATTCTATTACTTTTTACTTCCTGTTATGACTCCCATAGATTATTAAACTCAAGATGTTTGTTTGAAAATCCATCACTTTAAATCTGTCGAACATTAATATTTACCAGGGTTTAACGACGTTCTTGTTTAGTTTATTTGGATTTTATCAGCACTTTGTAACTTATGGTTGAAAATAAACGAGTGATGCCAAATCGTGCACTTTACACAAAGGTATAATAATCTTTGTGGGTCCAATCTGTTTGATAATAAAAATAGTAATACAGAGCGGGTGAAAGTAATTGAATAGCTGTTTGATTTTTCTGTTTTATGAGAAMGCTCATTACTTTTTTTAATCTACTTAAGGTTATTTTACTGTGTACCAGTCATTCTGGAGGTTATATAATGAGTAAGATTGATGTGAACACATATTTCTTATAGTCTGGAACATAATTTCAGGGTGGAAGTGACTCTAATGATGCCTTTTGTGTGTGTATAATTATTTTATTTTTCTCTGGGCAGTTTTGGATTGAAACGGGAACAAAGAAATACGGTCAACCAAGTTTCAGCCTGTTTATTTTGTTTTTGTTCAGCCTATTAGTATTTTCACCTCTTATGACCCAGAGAGCCCATTTATRACCTTCTTCAATAGAAATCATCATCATCATTTGCAAATTTTTAGCCACCTTACTTATTGTATAACTCATTGGTCACCGTCCCGTTTTAAATAACCAAATCATAAATGTCCATGTGCTTTGTGTTTGGCAGGACCATTCCTTCATAGTTCAGTATAATGATGGGAACGCAGAGGTGGTGTCCATGTGGGTTTGTCGCTGTCTGGAGGAGAGACGAGCTCAGCTGACRTAGAGACTCATCAGGTTTCCTCCTGCCGTCCGATCTCGATGGACCCCCTGGATGTTTGACTCCAAACCTATGAACAMTTCTGAAAAGCTTTAGGGTCTGAAAGCAAGGCACATGTGAAAAGGGAGGACTGAGTCACTGGTTGTTACACGCTTTATGTCAGAATTTACTTATTTAACGTACTTCTGCTACACGACATGGAGGATTCTGTATTCTTTTGAGAGTCTGTGCTCAGTCCAAACGCAGCAGGTGCTTCACCGAGTGTTTTTTTTTTCCAGAAGAATCCAAAAATGCTGTGAACACAACAGCCTGATGAAGCAAATGATCTCTGTTCGAAGGATCAGAGACGATAAACAACTTTCTGTGGAGACTGCAAAAGGCTGACGTGGTTGAGCTTTGCTGACGACGGCCCTCAAGTGAATGTCAAGGTTTTCTTCTATGAGTGACTGCCCATTATCTGTGCCTGGGTTACCAGTGTTGTTATTTATTACCTCAGCAAGTTGAAAATGTCACAGTTATAATAGACAGATGTTTGCCAAAAAAATGTCCTGTTTCTATACCAGAACCAGTGTAACGAGGAAAACCACTTTGGTTTGAGATTGAGGCGTGGATGAGTGCTGTCTAACATGTCTGTGTGTGTCTCCCTTCACAAGGATGATCCCTTTTTTTCCTCATTGTTGTCTCAGTACTGGAGTTCTTCTCATCACAACCATCATGTTTCTAAAATATATTCACATGTAGCCATTTGTCTCAGTGGGTCTGTGTGGTGGACCACGATCCTGCATGTTTTCAGTGTTTGTCTACCCCTGATTTGAATGAATGAGATTTACAAGCTTCTGCAGAACTTGAAGCTCTGCTGAAGAACAGGGAAACAACTAAAACTTGGATGGTGATCCTCCAGGACCAGGAGGCTGGTGTAAACCAACCTGAAAACCTAGACCAGTGAGTCAGAAGCAACAACAAAACCATATATTCACATCATTTTTAGACTCACTGGTATAAAAATGTTCTGTTCTTTTGAAAACAAACCAGGCTTTACATCAGTATAAATACTCAGCAGATGTCCTCTTGTTTTTTGTTTTTCTTTTCTTCAGCACTTTTAAGTAACAATTACAAATGTAAAGAAAATGAAACTTTGAACAGTTTATGGTGTAACTTCATCTATAAACTATAACATTTTGTGTATCTTTATTGCATTATAATAAAAARTAAGACATTTTAGTGAATCACCTACAAACATCAGTGGCCATATTATAAAGCAAAAACCTAAATTTAGTGCAAGCAACACCAAAGAGTAGCCACATCGTGAGTAAATGGATTTATCACAACTGAGACAAATGTGAAGAGCTAAGAGGCTGCTTTGATTGTCATGTAGCAAATGAAACCTGCAGCTCTAATGAGCAAGTAAAGACTTATTTTTTAACAAATTCTAAGAACATGTTGTTTAGAAGGTGTACAATGTGAGAACAATATATAAAATAAATAACCTGCATAGCACAGCAAAAAGTATGCAGTTTAACATATTACCATGTAATGTTAAAGGGTGTTTTTGTATTTAACGTGTAATATACTGTTTGATGATGGTCTTTTCTGTTCTTATCTATGTTGGCACATATCCCAGTC